CAGACAGACAGTCAAACAAACACAGACAGACAGTCAAACAAACACAGACAGACAGAGACAAACAAACACAGACAGAAAGTCAAACAAACACAGACGACAGTCAAACAAACACAGACAGACAGTCAAACAAACACAGACAGACAGTCAAACAAACACAGACAGACAGTCAAACAAACACAGACAGACAGTCAAACAAAACACAGACAGACAGTCAAACAAACACAGACAGACAGTCAAACAAACACAGACAGACAGTGAAACAAACACAGACAGACAGTCAAACAAACACAGACAGACAGTCAAACAAACACAAGACAGACAGTCAAACAAACACAGACAGACAGTCAAACAAACACAGACAGACAGTCAAACAAACACAGACAGACAGTCAAACAAACACAGACAGACAGTCAAACAAACACAGACAGACAGTGAAACAAACATAGACAGACAGTCAAACAAACACAGACAGACAGTGAAACAAACACAGACAGACAGATAGACAGACATGCAAACAAACAAACAAACAAACAAACACAGACAAAGACAGACAGACGCCTCATGGACCTAAGATTCATATAAACTTAATATGAAAGATAATGACATAGACTTTACCTGCATAACCAAGCACCTCACCTGCTGCTAGGTAGAGCTGAGGTACCTGTGTCAATTGCGTGTGTTGGTAGTGGTGTCAATTGCGTGTTATGGTAGGGGTGTCAATTGCGTGTTATGGTAGTGCAATTGCTGGTAGGGTGTCAATTGGTGTGTTATGGTAGTGGTGTCATGCGTGTTATAGTAGTGGTGGTCAATTGCGTGTTATGGTAGGGGTGTCAATTGGTGTTATGGTAGTGGTGTCAATTGCGTGTTATGGTAGGGGTGTCAATTGGGTGTTATGGTAGGGGTGTCAATTGCGTGTTATGGTAGGGGTGTCAATTGCGTGTTATGGTGTGCCAATTGCGTGTTGTGGTAGGGGTGTCAACTGCGTGTTGCGGTAGTGGTGTCAATTGGTGTCATGGTAGGGTGTCATGCGTGGTAGTGTCAATGCGGTTGCGGTAGGGGTGTCAATTGCGTGTTGCGGTAGTGGTGTCAATTGCGTGTTACGGTAGTGGTGTCAATGGTGTGGTGGGGTGTCACTGCGTGTTATGGTAGTGGTGTCAATTGCGTATTACAGAGTGTTGTCAGGTTGGGGGTTATGGTGGAAGTGGTGTTAATTTTGGGCTATGGTAGTGGTGGTGCCGTTTCGGTCGCGATATAGAGATGGTAGTGATGTCAATGGTCGAATTATGATGGTGGTGATGGTGTCAATTTTCTTGTCATGGTGGTGGTAGTAGTCATGGTTATGGTGGTATTATACTGTCTATAAGGTGCAGCACAACACAACAGTAACAGGTGGTGAGGTGCAGCACAACACAGCAGTAACAGGTGGTGAGGTGCAGCACAACACAGCAGCAACAGGTGGTGAGGTGCAGCACAACACAACAGTAACAGGTGGTGAGGTGCACAACACAGCAGTAACAGGTGGTGAGGTGCAGCACAACACAGCAGTAACAGGTAGGTGCAGCACAACACAGCAGTAACAGGTGGTGAGGTGCAGCACAACACACAGTAACAGGTGGTGAGGTGCACAACACAGCAGAAACAGGTAGGTGCAGCACAACACAGCAGTAACAGTGTGAGGCAGCACAACACAACAGTAACAGGTGGTGAGGTGCAGCACAACACAGCAGTAACAGGTGGTGAGGCAGCACAACACAGCAGTAACAGGTGGTGAGGCAGCACAACACAGCAGTAACAGGTGGTGAGGTGCAGCACAAAACACAGTAACAGGTGGTGAGGTGCAGCACAACACAGCAGTAACAGGTGTGAGGTGCAGCACAACACAACAGTAACAGGGGTGAGGTGCAGCACAACACAGCAGTAACAGGTGTGAGGTGCAGCACAACACAACAGTAACAGGTGGTGAGGTGCAGCACAACACACAGTAACAGGTGGTGAGGTGCAGCACAACACAACAGTAACAGGTGGTGAGGTGCAGCACACAACAGTAACAGGTGGTGAGGCAGCACAACACACAGTAACAGGGTGAGGTGCAACACAACAGCAACAGGTGGTGAGGTGCAGCACAACACAGCAGCAACAGGTGAGGTGCAGCAACACAGCAGTACAGGTGTGAGGCAGCAACACAACAGTAACAGGTGAGGTGCAGCACAACACAGCAGTAACAGGTGGTGAGGCACAACACAGCAGCAACAGGTGAGGTGCAGCACAACACAGCAGTAACAGGTGGTGAGGTGCAGCACAACACAGCAGTAACAGGTGTGAGGTGCAGCACAACACAGCAGTAACAGGTGGTGAGGTGCAGCACAACACAGCAGTAACAGGTGGTGAGGTGCAGCACAACACAGCAGTAATAGGGTGAGGTGCAGCAACACAGCAGCAACAGGTGGTGAGGTGCAGCACAACACAGCAGTAACAGGTGAGGTGCAGCACAACACAGCAGTAACAGGTGTGAGGTGCAGCACAACACAGCAGCAACAGGTGGTGAGGTGCAGCACAACACAGCAGTAACAGGTGGTGAGGTGCACAACACAGCAGCAACATGTGGTGAGGTGCAGCACAACACACAGCAACAGGTGGTGAGGTGCAGCAACACAGCAGTAACAGGTGGTGAGGTACAGCACAACACAGCAGCAACAGGTGGTGAGGTGCAGCACAACACAGCAGCAAGCACACAGGTGGTGAGGTGCAGCACAACACAGCAGTAACAGGTGGTGAGGTGCAGCACAACACAGCAGTAACAGGTGGTGAGGTGCAGCACAACACAGCAGTAACAGGTGGTGAGGTGCAGCACAACACAGCAGCAACAGGTGGTGAGGTGCAGCACAACACAGCAGTAACAGGTGGTGGTGAGGTACAGCACACCACAGCAGTAATGGTGAGGTGCAGCACACAACACAGCAGCAACAGGTGGTGAGGCAGCACAACACAGCGGGACAGTTGATATGTTATTGGCTGTAATAGCCAGGTAAGATGTGTGCCACCCAGCCCTGCACCTGCCTGGGTGAGAGAGAGGAGAGAGAGGGGAAAGAGGGGAGGGGTATAGAGATAGGGAGAGAGGGAGAAAGATAGAGAGAGGAGAGAGATAGAGAGGAGGGGTATATAGATAGAGATAGGGAGAGAGATAGAGAGAGGGAGAGAGATAGAGAGAGGGAGAGAGATAGGAGAGAGGGAGAGGTATATAGATAGAGATAGGGAGAGAGAGATAGAGAGAGAGGGAGAGAGATAGAGAGGGAGAGAGATAGGAGAGGAGGGGTATATAGATAGAGATAGGGAGAGAGATAGAGAGAGGAGAGATAGAGAGAGGGAGAGGTATATAGATAGAGATGGGAGAGAGATAAGAGAGGGAGAGAGATAGAGAGAGGGGAGAGAGATAGGAGATAGAGATAGGGAGAGAGATAGAGAGAGGGAGAGAGATAGAGAGGGAGAGAGAGAGAGGAGAGGTATATAGATAGAGATAGGGAGAGAGATAGAGAGGGGAGAGAGATAGGAGAGAGGAGAGGTATAGAGAGAGGGAGAGGTATATAGATAGAGATAGGGAGAGAGATAGGAGAGAGGAGAGAGATAGAGATAGAGATAGGGAGAGAGATAGGAGAGAGGAGAGAGATAGAGAGAGGGAGAGAGATAGAGAGAAAGAGAGAGATAGAGAGAGGGAGGTATATAAATAGAGATAGAGATAGAGATAGGGAGAGAGATAGAGAGGTATAGAGATAGAGAGAGAGAGAGAGGGAGAGATAGAAGAAGAGATAGGGAGAGAGACAGAGAAAGGGAGAGAGATAGAGATAGGGAGAGATAGAGATAGAGAGAGAGATAGAGAGAGGTATAGAGATAGAGATAGAGAGAGAGAGGTATAGAGATAGAGATAGAGATAGGGAGAGAGATAGAGAAAGGGAGAGAGATAGAGAGAGGAGAGAGAGATAGAGATAGGAAGAGAGATAGAGAGAAGGAGAGAGATAGAGATAGGGAGAGAGAGGAGAGAGAGAGAGAGAGAGAGAGTCGTTGTCGAAGTTGTTAGTATAGTTCACCATATATTGATTGGTGCCTGATTCTGCAGACTGGTAGGTGCCGTAGACTGGTGACTGACTGGTGCCGTGGACGTGACTGACTAGTGACTGATGCCGTAGACTGGTGCCTGATGCCGTGGACTAGTGACTGATGCCGTGGACTAGTGACTCATGCCGGGACTGGTGACTGATGCCGTGGACTGGTGACTGATGCCGTGACTAGTGACTGCGGACTGGTGACTGATGCCGTGGACTGGTGACTGATGCCGTGGACTAGTGACTGATGCCGTGGACTAGTGACTCATGCCGTGGACTGGTGACTGATGCCGTGGACGTCTGATGCCGTGGACTAGTGACTGATGCCGTGGACTAGTGACTCATGCCGTGGACTGGTGCCTGATGCCGTGGACTAGTGATCGATGCCGGACTGGGCCGATGCCGTGGACTAGTGACTGATGCCGGACTGTGACTGATGCCGTGGACTGGTGCCTGATGCCGACCAGTGACTGTGGTGACTAGTGACTCATGCCGTGACCAGTGACCATGCCGTGGACTGGTGATGGATGCCGTGGAAGTACTGATGCCGTGGACTGGTGACTGATGCCGTGACTGGTGACTGATGCCGTGGACTAGTGACTGGATGCCGTGGACTGGTGACCGATGCCGTGGACTGGTGACTGATGCCGTGACTGGTGCCTGATGCCGTAGACTGCAGTGACTCATGCCGTGGACTAGTGACCTGCCGTGGACTAGTGACTCATGCCGTGGACCAGACTCATGCCGTGGACTAGTGACTCATGCCGTGGACTGGTGACTGATGTGGACTAGTGACTGATGCCGTGACTAGTGATCATGCCGTGGACTAGTGACTGATGCCGTGGACTAGTGACTGATGCCGGACTAGTGGACTCATGCCGTGGACTAGTGACTGATGCCGGACTAGTGACTCATGCCGTGGACTGGTGACTGATGCCGTGGACTAGTGACTGATGCCGTGACTAGTGACTGATGCCGTGGACTGGTGCTTGATGCCGTGACTAGTGACTCATGCCGTGGACTAGTGACTGATGCCGTGGACTGTGACTGATGCCGTGGACTAGTGACCATGCCGTGGACTGGTGACTGATGCCGTAGACTGTGCCTGATGCCGTGGACTAGTGACTGATGCCGTGGACTGGTGACTGATGCCGTGGACTGGTGCCTGATGCCGTGGACTAGTGACTCATGCCGTGGACTAGGTGACTGATGCCGGACTAGTGACTGATGCCGGACTGGTGACTCATGCCGTGGACTGGTGACTGATGCCGTGGACTGGTGCCTGATGCCGTGGACTAGTGACTGATGCCGGACTGGGACTGATGCCGTGGACTGGTGCCTGATGCCGTGGACTAGTGACTCATGCCGTGGACTGGTGACGATGCCGGATATTGATGCCGTGGACTGTGACTGCGGTGACTGATGCCGTGGACTGGTGACTGATGCCGTGACTAGTGACTCATGCCGTGACTAGTGACTGATGCCGTGGACAGTGGACTGATGCCGTGACGTGACTGATGCCGTGACTAGTGACTGATGCCGTGGACTAGTGACCGCGCCGTGGACTGGTGATCGATGCCGGACTGGTGCCCGATGCCGGACTAGTGACTGATGCCGTGACTGGTGACTGATGCCGTGGACTAGTGACTGATGCCGTGGACTGGTGACTGATGCCGTGGACTAGTGACTGATGCCGATGGTGTGATGCCGTGGATGTGACGATGCCGTGGACCAGTGACTCATGCCGTGGACTGGGACTGATGCCGTGGACGTTGGTGCGACTGGTGTGGATGCCGGACTGGTGATGGATGCCGGAGTTGGTGACTAACTGGTGACTGATGCCGTGGACTGGTGACTGATGCCGGACTGGTGCTGATGCCGTGGACTTGTGGAAGTGACCATGCCGTGGATTGGTGGATGCCGTGGACTGGTGATGGATGCCGGAGTTGGTGACCAACTGGTGACTGATGCCGTGGACTGGTGACTGATGCCGTGGACTGGTGCTGATGGTGACTGATGCCGTGATGGTCATGCCGTGGACTGGTGATGGATGCCGGACTGGTGATGGATGCCGTGGAACTGGTGACTGATGCCGTGGACTGGTGACTGATGCCGTGGACTGGTGCTGATGCCGTGGACTGGTGATGGATGCCGTGGACTGGTGACTGATGCCGTGGACTGGGACTGATGCGTGGACTGGTGGAGCCGGTGGTGATGGGACTGGTGACTGATGCCGTGGACTGGTGTGGTGATGATGCCGTGGACTGGTGACTGATGCGTGGTGATGATGCGTGGCGATGCGGCTGGTGACGATGCGTGGCTGGTGACTGATGCGTGGACTGGTACGGATGCCGTGGACTGGTGACTGATGCCGTGGACTGGTGACCATGTTGTGGACTGGTGACTCATGCCGGACTGGTGACTCATGCCGTGGGCTGGGACTCATGCCGGGCTGGTGACTCAT